ATATGACATTGCATAGGAAAATGTTTTATGTTATTAGGTCGTATATAACTAGTGTGAATTGGTTTAAGTCATATTTCAACGTATTCTGTCAATCCCACTACAAATTTATTTATATACTACTAAAACTCTTGTGTCTGTAACCTTTAACCAGGCGAAACAATGAATCATAGGAAAAACCTTTTGAACCAAGGTACCTCAAATGAGCTAACGTACGGAATGTGTCCAAAATCCTGGACCCATGACTCCGGTAGAAATTGAAATTTGGCAAATTTTATAAAGCATTTTATGACATAAAAATCATAATAAAGAATTCTATAACATAATACCAAATGCCATAAAATATTTCCTGAGGGCAATGGTTGACGTTTGATTGCACACCAGTGATGTTAAACGTTTTTCGTCTCGGGTGCCAAAACCACATGCGATGCACTCATGCTATTACGCGGGCTTGCGTGCCTACCCTATAATTTAATGCCCCCTGTGTATTCATGCATGACCCACCCCTGCTGCCCCGCGCATACACGCACGAGTTTCTTGGAGTCTGGGAAGGGTGAAAACGGCCTCCCATGCCCCCCCAGAGGCCAGAAACGGCCCGTTTTCTGACTTCCAGTGAGCTCTGTAGGTCCATTTTTTGCCCTCCTCAGGCTCCAGAGGCTTTCTAGGAGCCTGGAGAGGGTGAAAAATGACCCAACATGCAAACTGGAAGTTTGGGAATGGACTTCCAGGTTGCCCTTTGGGCCATTTTTCTCCCTCCGGAGGCTTCCCAATGCGCAAACCAGAAGTCTGTTCCCGAACTTCTGGGGAGCCTCTGAAGGGCGAAAAATGACTGAAAATCAAGGCCGAAAATCAGCTGGCCATTGACAGGACATTGCCTTGCGTGCCCTCAGAAATGGCTCTGCATGCCACCTGTGGCACGCATGCCATAGGTTCGCCATCATGGTGCTATATACAGTGCAACATGGGCTACTTTCAAGACAGATGCATTTCTGAATATCTGCCTTAATTTTTTAATAACTTTTCAATTACATTAGTAGTTTTACCATTGTTGAAGGCATTGAGGAATCTGGTAAAGAAATATCTCTGAAAAAATTATACCATGGGGAATGGGTTGTCTTAGTTATTTTTTTTAAAGCAAGCAATCTATAATTATTTAAATACGTTCGAGTCTATGTGTTTTAATGTAAATTTTCTGAGCTAAAAAATAATCCAAGTTATGTGGATGCTTGATACATCAAATTGCAATAGAGAATTGTGAAGAAATTGTCTGTTTTGTTGTGAAGAAATAATCTGTGGTAGATTTCTTTTAAATGGTTTATATCAGTGATGGCGAACCTAGGGCACGCGTGCCACAGGTGGCACGTGGAGCCATTTGTCAGGGCACGTGAGGTGCTGCCCTGTCAGCTGGCCAGCGTGCAAGCGTGCAGTGGCCAGCTGAGTTCACCCTTTTTTAAAGCCATTTTTTGCCCTCCCTAGGCTCCAGAGGCTTTATAGGAGCCTGGGGAGGGTGAAAACAGCCTCCCCCGCCCCCGCCCCCAGAAGCCCTCCTTCAGGAACCTTCAGAAGGCTTCCCTGAAGCCTCCAGAGCAGTCAAAATGACCCTCTGAGCAAACTGGAAGCTATTTCCGGTTTGCTCGGAGGGTCGTTTTAAGCCAGTGATGGCGAACCTATGACACGCGTGTCA